TCTTATTAATGTTCTCCCAATTTATTACAGTCCCCACAGACCTGATTCTCCCCCATCTTTAATTTGGTGTCATATAGAAATTGTTTTTGATTTCAACATTCAAATTGCTAATTTAAATTACAAACAGCAGTGGTCCCAGCACTAAAATCCTTGTGGAATACAACGGCCCATATCCTGCAACTCTGAATAACTACCCCATACTGTAATTCTCTGCTTCCTGTCTTCAAATCAACTATTGATAAATTTTGCCACTTGTCCCCCAACACTGCATTCACTGGCTTTATTTCTTTGTTTATTAGTGGACATGTTACTGTTTCAAAAGTCCAGACAAATTGCATTATCATTATTTCTCTGCTAACTCGTCAAAAAAGGAAATAAGGTTTAGTGAGCTAGATTTTCTATTTTACTGACCGCTCATCATTTTTTTTTTGTTTTTAAATGCTCTTCCATTCTCTTTGTTGGCAAAAACTCTGTTATTTTATACCAACTACTGCTGTTAAGCTGACTGGCTTTATAGTGGCCTGGGTCTGTTCTTAATCCCTTGTTAAATGCAGATGCCAATTCAGCTATCTGCAGCTTTTTTGAAAGAATTGTCAAATATGTGCAGTGATACCTTTACTTTCTTTCCCTAGATCCTTTTAAAATGTGTGGATGCAACCCATCCAGACCAGGAGATTTATCCTCCTTGAGTTTGAACAGTTTCACACATTGATTCCATGCATTCATACACTCTAATATTAATTGCACTTATTTTATTGAACATCTCATCATCAAATACCATGCCCTTTTGTTCCATCTCCCTGTTAAATACTGGAATTTTAAAATGCTTTGGGACATCCTAGAAGTGTTATATGACTACAGTTCTCCTTGTGACGACAGTAAATAATCTTGCAACGCTGCAGCATTGCAAATGGTTTTGCATGATTGAAAGTTTATTTTAAAATAATGTTTAATATGAAATGTAAAGCTTCAGTGAGCACACAAATTGGATCTAAAGTAGATGTATTCATTGCTGTTCTGTTTCAATGGCACAATATTGAAAGTATTATGGGCTATTGATTATAATTGGGCCGAATGTTCCTTCTCCACCCTTTTACTTTCCCTCATTAACAGTTGGTCTTTGCCTATCTTATGTCACACTCCAATAATTCTGTTTCCTCTACTTTTTCCATCAAACTGTCAAGAGTGTTGTTCTAAAAATGATCAAACATCCTTAACTTCCCAGATTGAGTAGCCAATAACTTTTGACATACCTCATCTAGAATGTACAGAGTTCTGAAGAAGGGTTGTTGGACCCGAAATGTTAACTCTGCTTTCACTCTGGCGCTGTCAGGCCTGCTGAGTTTTTCCAGCAATTTCTGATTTTGATTTTTGATTTGCAGTGTCCACAATTTTGCCTTTTTGTTAATGTACAGAATCTCAATCAGTATTAAGTATCATCAGCTCCTCAATTCTTCCTCTTCTGAACTTCACTGTTCAAATATGCACAAATGGTCAAAGAGAAATAAATAGAATTAAAAGCAAACTTTCCCTTCCAAGGAGACAGGTTTCGTACTTTAAGATAACCATGTTATCGAGTATTAATTTTGATACTCACTGGAGTAGAATACCTGATCCCAATGTTGCATCATTGGGTTATCTTCTCTACATTGTCTCTCAATAATCAGATGTTTGTGTTCCACAAGCTACTATTGTCTTCACCGACTATTAGTCATTGAGCTGATGAACTCCCATCTGAAAAATTGAAATCAACATTACCAAGTCAGTAATTGTTAATTACTGTCTTATATCTGATTGCTTTTGACACACTTTGGACACCTGATATAATGAAACTTTGCACTGTGTTTAAATATAACCACCATCTCAGTATGGGACTTTCGTACCTTGCGATTTTTCTGAACACTCCATGACTGTACGTGTATAAGAGAGTGGCCTGGATAAGTTTACATTATGGATTTACCACCAGTAAATGGGCAGCAAAAGGCAATTGTTGGAACCAAGGCAATATATCTCCGAGCTTGATCAATAATTCACTCATTACATTAACTCTGCAAATAAATCTATACATAATCTAATCACTTAAACAGTCTCAGGCCTGACCATTGCCGAGCAAGATGAATAACCTCAGGCCTGAAGTCAATCTGGATCAGGATATCTGCTGACTCTTGTTGAGTTTGCAACTTTCCCCTTTACACCCTCTTATTGCCACAGATGGCTTTCACGAAACTGTGAATCCCTTCTCGAAAATATCTGCAAATGGATCTCTCTGGAATGTCCTTGTCCCATTTTCATGCCTCATCATCAGCCCTAACCCATTGTCTATAGATGTTGTTGCAGATATTTTATACAATAGGAACAGAAGATACAGGGGGCTACGCTCAACAATTAATTTTGTACAAATAATTTCACGTTGCACTTTACAGAATTACATTTTTTTATGATCTGAAAAGGTTAAATGTGGCTGGTCAGAATCTGTGAAGAGAACAGATCAATTATAATTCCAGGAATATCGCACCTAATCCAAACAAAAACTAATGAAAGATGAAGAAATTGAATTGGTAGTGTTTAAAGTTTTTGAGAAGACTTGTTTTGAGAAGAATTAGTAGTGTAGTACTTCTGTGACTGGACAAGCAACTTAGGGACACAGACTAATAAACCAGAGAACATGGGTGCATATTCCACCCAATAGGCCTATGAAGCTATTAGATTGTCATAAAAATCCAAAGGTTCCACAAATGTCTTTAAGACTCCAGTCCTGCAATGTGCTTCACTCATAACTACCCTGTTCAATGCTTCCACAAACCTGACGCAGAAAGGGATGGGAATAATTTGCAGCCTGGACAGCAATGCTTGCATCCTGAACATGAATTCATAGAAACATTTAAATAATTTTAATGGAATAAGAACATGTCGACAACAATGAAGGGTACATCTCCACTCATCATGAGCGTCATGAGGTCTCTAACTCTCTTCTGATGCTGATGGTGATTCCCGTGCTACTTGAGCTTGAGCAACACTCCTCACACCATGAGGACACACCATGCTGAGCCTCTGGAAGCGCTCCTCCCTTCCCAACTGGACAGTGTAGATGGAGGAGTCTGTTAATGGACCATCTCCCTGAAAATGACACACCACAGGCACTCGTGTGTTTTGTAAGACCATAAGATTCCCGCCAGTGAATTGCTGCGATCTGAATGCTTTACCAGAAAGTGTTAAAGAAGCTGATTTAATGATAACTTTCAAAAGACAACTCAGTAAATCCTTGCAGGTATTGGATAGGTACAGAAATAAAAGCCTAAAGTGCAGGAGAAACACAGCCATTCAGACAGCATCTACGGAAAGGGAGGCAGAGTTAAGATTTTATGTCCGTTGTGACTCTTCTTCAGAACTGAACCTGTTCCAAATAACCATTTAGAATATATGTTAATATTTTGGATGAGAGAAGTGATCACCAGGTTTGCAGGTAAAGCTGAAATGAGCAGGAAGGCAAGTGAAGAGAATGACACAAAAGGCCATAGAAAGGTTAAGCGAGTGGGCAAATCCTTGGCAGATGGAATGCCATATGGGGAAATGTGAGATCATACATTTTGGTCGGGAGAGTAGAGGAGTTGAATATTACTTAAACAGAGAAAGACTTCAGAATATGGCAGCACAGAGAGATTTCGGAGTCCTTGTACAGAAATCAGAAAAGTTGAACAAGTAATAGGGAAGGCAAATGGATTATTAGCCTTTATTTCAAAGGGAATGGAGCACAAAAATAGGGAGTTTTTGCTAAAACTGTATGAGGCACTAGTCAGCCCACAGCTGGAATAGAGTCATTGTGTCATACACCAGATCCTTCAGTCCAACTAGTCCATGCTGAACATAACCTAAACTAAATTAGTCCCACCTGCCTTTTCCTGATCCAGATCCCTCCAAACCTTTCCTATTCATGTACTTATCCAAATGTCTTTTAAATGTTGTAATTGGACCCACATCCACCATTTCCTCAGGAAGTTTATTCCACATGCGAACCACCCTCTGTGTAAATAATTTGCCCCTCGTGGCTTTTTTAAATTTCTCTCCTCTCGCCTTAAAAATAAGCCCCCTAGTCATGAGATCTCCCATCCTATGGAAAAGACACCTACCGTTAACCTTATCTATACCCCTCATGATTTTATAAATCTCCTCAACCTCCTACGCTGCAGGGAAAAAAAATCCCAGCCTTTCTTTATAACATGAACCTTCCATACCTGGCAACATCCTGATAAATCTCTTCTGAACCCTGTCCAGCTTAATAATATCCTTCCTATAACTGGGCGACGAGAACTGGACACAGTACTCCAGAAGAGGCCTCACCAACCTCACTGTAAACCATTTTAGTTCCCTTAAAGAAAGATAAATTGACTTTGGAGGTGGTCTACAAAAGGTTCACTCGGCTGATCCTGAGAATGGAGGGATTTTCTTATGAGGAAAGGATGAGAAGGCTGGATCTGCCATTGGAATTTTGACGAACGAGAAGCAACCTTATTGAAATGTAGAAGATTTTAGGGGGCTCGACAGGGTAGATATTGAGAGATTGTTTGCCCATGTGGGACATTCTAAGACCAGAGGCCATAATCTCAAAGTAATGGGTTGCTCAGTTACCACAGGATGAGGGGGAATTTCTGTTCCATGAAGGTAGTGAATCTGTGGAATTCTCACCCACAGAGCACTGTAAAGGGTTTGTGTCATTAAATATACATTTAAAACGACAATAAATAGTTTTTAATCAGTAAGGTAAACAGGGGAAAAGCAGTAAAGCGGAGTTAAGTAGCATCAAATAAGCTGTGAGTTGTGGAGCAAACTTGATGGGCTGAATGGCCTACTTATGATTCTAAATCTAAGAGTTGTATTTCATATCGTAATTTCAAGTTATTGGAATTATTGAAATTCATAAGTCAAATGTGAAATGCGAAATGTTTACTCCTTTCGAAACTGATGATGTACATGAGTTAATTCACTTCTTTGTTCACGACAAGAGCCTGGCAGCTGAAGAATCTGAGCTCCGTTTCAGACAATTGACGAGGGAATATCAGGCACTCCAGAGAGCGTACGCACTACTGCAGGAGCAGACAGGAGGGATCCTCGATGCAGAACGGGAGGCAAAGGTGACCATTAAATCATTGGTTAAAATGTTCAAGTGTGGTCAATGATGAATTAGTGACGCAGCTCTGCGGAAATGTACATTATTCGGAAAAGCACCGGCCTTGGCTGCTGGGACTAGTGCTCAAGCATGTCAGGTTGCCAAATGAAATTCTGTTCCAACTGATTGAAGGGGCAGTCCCCCTCCAGTTCCTACACAGCGCAGAGGTGTGCCTACATTGACAGTCCTCCTCATAAAGGTCACAGGACAGCTGGTGTGGGAAATAGAGAGAGAAAGAAATGTCACACTGGAATGAAGGAATGCAGCCTTGTGTGTTCAGGCCCCAGTTGAGGGAACTTTTCTCTGTATCTAGACATGTTATACCTCACCTGAGGAGGCTTGATCTCTTGTGTAAGCTTGGCTCAGTTGACAATACGCTTTGAAATCAAAGGTTATGGGTTCAAGCCCTGCTCCAGGCTTCAAGCTCATAATCTAGACTAATGTATTCAGGTAGTGAGGGCATTCTGTGCTCTTGGGAGCTTAGTGCCTCACCTTAAGTGCTCAATCTGTAGCGTTTTACTACAATAAACGTGTTACATGCCTGCAAGTTGTGGTTGCATCGTCTTTTAGTTTGTGAACAATGAAGCTCCCGCGGAACAATTTGTAGATTATTAGAGATTTTGAATGTTCTGTGCTCAACAAATACTATCAAAATTAAATGAACTGATCAGTTAAATTATTGTATTTATAGTGGGATTTTTGCTGTGCACAACAGTGGTTACCTCATTCAGTTGCATAGCACCAGGGAGACACATTCCAAGCAGCTCAGTGTATGAGAGGTGTTTGGAACACACTGAGAGGCTCAAGAGGTGCTATATAAATAATGTCAAAATAGTAAAGTCATAATCAACATCGCTTCTAATGTTTCCCTTAAGTTAACAAAGTGCATGATCGTTACATTTTTTTCCAAAAGTCTTTCTTTTAATGAACCATGTACCTAAAGCATAAATTGCTGGCTACTGAATAGTAATCCCTATCAATGGGGAATATCATTACTTATTTGCTTTCTGCTTTTGATTGTGGGACAACCAGGCTATTGACATTGTGCTATTTGATGATAATTTGGTAATAAGCATAAGAACAAAATCAATTATGATTGCCAAACTACACTAACTAAAGAAATACAACATTCTCCGACATGGTCCTTAAATAAAAGACTGACTCACCATCTTCATACAGATTCAAACATCCAGTCAAATATTTCAACATTTTGTTCTGCATGTAATGCAAAGTTTTTTTTTCATGATCCGTCAATAAAATAGTGAGTGTGTTCAATACAGCATTGAAAAAATTGCTGTTGAATATCTCATCTCAACGACAGAACCTCCAGTTCAGGCCCCATCTGTTCTCTCAACTGGATGTCCATGAAAATATAACACTCGTGGGTAATGTGAGGAGATTTCTCACAATGTCCTATCCGGTATTTTCTCCCAATCAATGCCGTTGGCAGCAGATTATCTGTCAGTTTATTTCACTGCTGTTTGTGGGACCTTGCCATGTTGAACATTGGTCGCCATGTGGCCCTACATTATAACAGTGGCTCCAACTTAAAGTGTTGAATGATTGATTCTTTGTAAAGCAACGTTGCCTGCTAATGGGTTTGATTCCTGCGACATTCGGTGCCATGGTGCATTACAGTCATTCCCTGAGCCACTCAGAAAGCCGAAAGAATCTTTTCAAGTTTATGAAAGAAAGAGTTGCGTACCTTTCAGAACTTCAGGGTCTCCCAAAGTACTTCACAGCCACTGAAGTACTTTAGAAGTGTAACCATTGTTGAACTCCGGGAAATGGTATGCCAATTTGTGCAGTCAATTTGTCCCCAAAACGGTAATATCATTTTATATTAATGTTAGTTGAAGGATGGTAGTGACCAAGATGCAATTACCAGCCTTGATACTTAAAACTGGATCAACACTGATGTATTCTTTTAGGCTCCTCAAATTGCCCTTATTGGTCTGTACATTGAGCATAAGAGTTGGGGTGACATGTTGCAGGAGAACAGGATATTGTTTAGGCCACATTTGGAATACTACATTCAATTCTGGATTCCCTGCTTTAAGGAGGATCTGAAACTTGAAAGGTTTCAGAAAAAAGACTTACAATGTTGTTGCCAGGTTTGGAGGGTTGAGCTATGGGGAGAGGCTTAATAGGCTGGGACTATTTTCCCTGGAGTGTTAGAGGCTGAGGGAGTGATTTTATAAAGATTTATAAAATCATGCAGGGGCATAGCCAATGTCTTTTGTTTTCCAGGGTATGGGAGTCCAAAACTAGAGGGCATAGGTTTAAGGAGAGAGGAGAAAGTTTTAAATGGGACCTAAGGGGTAACTTTTTCACGTAGAGGGTGGTGCATGTATGGAATGAGCTGCCAGAGGAAGTGGTGGAGGCTGGTACAATTACAACAATAAAAAGTCATCTGGATAAGTAGATGAATAGGAAGGGCTGAGAGGGATATGGGCCAAGTGCTGGCATATGGGACTGGATTAATTTAGTATATCTGGTCAGCATGGACGAGTTGGACCAAAGGGTCTGTTTCCGTGCTGTACAGCTCTACAAATGGGTAGCTATCATCTCTACTCTGATCTGAGTTGAGGCAATAGTAGAGTGCTACACTCATATCCCTGATCAAAATGAAGACAAAAAATGGCACAAAATTCCCCTTCCTAATCACTGCCCAACAATCTCTGATGGAAATGTGCAGTGGGATGTAATTCAAATAGGTTTTGGCTGCGATGCCTGCCACTGTTGAATTGCTTGATTCCTGTGAATTCGGTGAGGTAGCTGATGATTGCTGATGTCGTTGTTCCTGCTGGCTGTGTAGACCTGCAGCAAAATTCAAACTTAGCAGCGTGTACACAGGCAAAGATTGTCATCTGAATAGCAGTATGGTTTCTCCTTCTATCCATCCTATTGACCCTTTATTGATAATAGATTCTCTTTCTCTTAAATCATAAATGACTTAAGTTACTGAAACAAAAATGTGACATCATGTTTCTTCCACATTACAATCTAACCAACTTTTTATGGTTTTAGCTGCAGTCGTGCTACTTTAAGTGTTCCACATAACTTAAATGTGATCTAAATTACTTTTATGAAATTTTACTGCATCTTCAAAAAGACTGCAAATTATTGATGCAAATTTAAGTAATGATTATTTAAAATCAGAAGCAATCTAGTTTCATACTGAGAAGTTTCTTGTCTTTTTGCACAGTCCTTCACGAAAGAATATTTCCCTTATGGTTTTAATGACTATTTCCTGATTTCATTAGGCTCATGAACAATTACAAGCAGAAGTTCTGAGGTGTAAAGCTAAAATTGACGACCTCGAAAAGGCTTTGGCACAGAAAGGACAGGTAAGACATTTGTTAAAAAAAAAAATTGTCTGACTACCAACTGCAACTGGGGACCTCCCAACTTTCAGATGTAATCTAGAAATTTGTGCCTTGGAAATATGGCAGGTCCTTCAATTCTCACTTGAAGGGGTTATTCAACACAATGTCGGCAAAAAGCAAACCTGCTGTGTGATCTTGTTTTATTGTGTTTTGTGTCTCAAATAAACATAAAGATGACCCTCACCAGTTTTGATGTGGCAACAGGAGCATTGCTCCAGGAATTTTGCAATGTCTGCTTTCTCATTCTGCATCCACAGCACAGTGAGTAATCAAAAAATAAACTCAAGACACACATGCACACACACGCTCTCTCTCTCTGACTCTTTCTCACACTCTCTGTCTCCTCACTCCTGTCACACACACACACATTCTCTCACACGCTCAAACACACATACGCACGCACGCACACATGCAAACATATGCACGCAAACACATGCATGTAAACACACAGGCATGCACGCGCGCGCACACACACCCACACACACCCACACACACCCACACACACACACCTGGTGTTGTATGATTTGTCTGTCCCAGTCCAACACTGGCATCTCCATGAAAAGCACATACACTCACACTCATTCACTCACACTCTCATTCTCTCACTCTCATGCTCACTCACTGTCACTTGCTCACTCTCTCACTCTTTCACTTGCTCGCTCTCACACTCATTGAACAATTGAACACACAACGTTAATAATAGTTTGTGAAGGTTGTGCCTGTAAAATGACTGCCAGGATGTGCACTTTACCACATAGGTAGCAGGGTATGTGCTGGTTCTACAATTCAGGTTCTTTTTCTGTATATGAAAAGGGCACGCTTCCACTTACAATGCAGGAATTTATATTTGTGAAAGGCCTCTGTGTCATAAAAAGTCCCCAAGGAGTACAATAAAAGAGAATATGACATTGAGCCACATACAGTGTTAATAGGGCAGATAACAAAAGCTCAGACAAAGAAGTAGATCCCTGCGATGGCTTCCAGTCCAGGACTTGCCTCCCCGCGCCTTCCTCCAATCCGGGAGTCACCTCCTCCATTCCCATATTCTAAGTTTAGAAAGTTAAAGGTTTGAAAAAAACGCACTCAGGAAAAGAGAAAAAAAGAGAAAAGGAAAAATGAACAGGTGGAGCAGAGGAGTTCCGGATGGAGTGTCCTACTGTGCCACCATGTTGTTTCCAATTGGAAAGGCAACTGGGAAGCCATGGTTTTGCAGAATTGGCTTCTCCCCATTTTCGGTTAAAATGATAGGGCAACTGAGATACTGAAGTAGCAATAAGCTGTCTGTTATTATTCTAGCTGCTGTTGATAAACGTGGCCCTCTCCATTTGACTATTAACTCCAGCATTGTTAACCGCCAGTAAAATTAATTTTTATTTAATTTCCATGTCATTAGATTCCACTTGGCGCGCCTTGGGTGGGATTGGCGTAGTGGCATGCCCTTCACTGTCGGCTAATGCTGAGCTTTATCACCGATTTCAAGTTAGGTTTTGTAAGGTTCATGAGAACAGAATGTAACACTCTATCAAAGTAATGCTATGATCTGAAAATCCACTGCCTCATTTGATCTATTCAGTGATGCTATCCTGGATTAATTAAAGAGAAAGCTTCCTGTTCAGAATTGGAGAGCAGAACTTGAGGAATACACAGGGGCCTAGGCTTGGATGGATCTTGAACACAGATTCATTAGAGTGGCCTCTTCAAAAGTAACTTGCTAAAGAAGTTATTGCTACTGCTGAAATGCATCTTATTTCTGGAGGAACTTATTCTAATGCACGTCTTTTTTTTTGTTCAAAACAGGATTCAAAATGGGTTGAAGAGAAGCAACTGTTTATCAAAAGAAATCAGGAACTTTTAGAAAAGGTAGCACTTAGTGTTCGCATGGTATCTGTTTTTGAATCTCTTGCCGGCATTACAACATTTTTAGCCAAGCTATTTTGAACTTTTTGTTTAATTCTCAATACTTTGGTGCTCTCATAAACCTGTCAGCACTTCTGCTGAGCGAAGCTACTGGGATATCAGTCTCAAACAACATATCTGCATATAAGTTGCTTCCAAGGAAGGGTCACTGGACCTGAAACATTAACTCTGATTTCTTTCCACACAGATGTTGCCAGAGCTTTTCCAGCAATTTCTGGTTTTGTTTCTGATTTACAGCATCTGCAGTTCTTTTGGTTTTTAAATTATTTGGAGCCTGTTTCCCCTTTTAATGTTTGGATTATTTGAGACCAACATCCCTATTTCTATGTTTTTGCTCTGATGAAAGGAAACTCTAGCAAATATATGACTTAACTATTTAATAATTGTTCACCTTCTTGGTACAATTATTCTGAACTTATTGATTGTCTGTACTTAACAATTTCCTCTGGATTGTTAACTACTTGTGTGCATGTTTGCGTAGTACAGTTCAAGTTGGCTATTTTTGCCGTGTACCTCCTTCTCAATCTTGCCTGTGCTGTTGTAGGTAACCCCGTACGAGAAAGTCACTTCCACTCCTCAGGAGTGAGAGGCTATTGGGGATTGCTATCCTTCCCACACTACTCCGCACTCTTTGTGGAAACTGGTCGCATGGTCAAACACTGTCCGCCCATAAAAAGTGAGGGATCTATCCACTGTAAATTATTAATTCATTATGCTATCAACTGCACTTACAAATGGAATGATAAAGAGTAGAATCTATGGCCCACAGCAACCTTTGTTTAATGTCATGAATAGCTGCTTGCTATTGTCATACATATTATTGAGAAAGTGATGGCAAGCTTTCGAAAAAAAAAGAACGGAAAGAACAGTGGAAGCTGTAAATCGGAAACAAAAGCTGGAAAAGCCCAGCAGGTTGGGCAGCATCAGTGGAGAGAAACCAGAGTGAACATTTCGGGTCGAGAGACCCTGCCTGAGAACGGGTTAACTCTGATTTCTTTCCTCAGATGCTGCCAGATCTCATGACAACTTTTTTATTTAATTGAAGCAGTTGGATGTAAAAAATATGTAACAAAGAAACATTCAGCCTCCATGTAAAATATATTTTTTGAAAAGTCAGGCTATTTTCCCTCCTATTTACCAGTAGTCTTGACTTGTGTTCTCAGTTCAATTCCTTCGTTGAATGATTGAGGAATCCCTGCTATGCGTAAACTTTTTGTTAAGTTTTCGTTGTTCCCTTTGATGAGATATGTCAACTTGGGTTTTGTTCATGGTGTATTGGAGAGCCTATGTCCCAGTTAATTACAGATCCGGGACACTGGAAGTAGGCTTTTGAGGTCCAAACACCCCTGTTGTGTGTGTAGTTGCAGCCCAAAGGTATCAATGTGGATTTCACAAGCTTCAAAATCTCCCCTCCCCCTACCGCATCCCAAAACCAGTCCCCGCCTCCCTAACCTGTTCTTCCTCCCACCTATCCCCTCCTCCCACCTCAAGCCGCACCTCCATCTCCTACCTACTAACCTCATCCCGCCCGCTTGACCTGTCCGTCCTCCCTGGACTGACCTATCCCCTCCCTAACTCCCCACCTACACTCACCTTTACTGGCTCCATCCCCGCCTCTTCGACCTGTTTGTTTCCTCTCCACCTATCCTCTCCTCTATCCATCTTCTATCCGCCTCCCACTCTCTCCCTATTTATTTCAGAACCACCCTTCCCCTCCCCCTTTTCTGATGAAGGGTCTAGGCCCGAAACGTCAGCCTTTCTGCTCCTGTGATGCTGCTTGGCCTGCTGTGTTCATCCAGCCCTGCACCTTGTTGTCTCAGATTCTCCAGCATCTGCAGTTCCGACTATCTCTGTGTAGTTATACAGTCTTTTCTATCCTGTTTGAGCAATGTGGGTCTGGAAGTTTGTAAAGGTTTGCTTTTAGAGGGCTCACCTCAGTATCAGACACAATCGAAATACCAAGAGTAGACAGAATGAACATTTTGAGATTTATTCAAACAAATGGATCATTAAGATTTTCTGCCGTTCAATTGCCATCCATTCAAAGAAATGGAATTTGAATTTGATGACAAAATCTGAAATAAAAAGCTGGATTAATGGTGAATATAAAGATACTAAACAGAAGTTAGTATGAGTCATAGTTTCTACCCTTTATCATTCCATTTGTAACTGTATAGTGAATTAATAATGGTTATTCATAACCCAACTATTTACTAATATTGTTTAGGAAGGATATTTGCCATCCTTTCCTGGTCCAGCCAACATGTGACCTGTTGCTTATGGTTGGCTCTTAACTGCCCTCTGGGCAATTAAGGATGGGAAATGAATGTTGACCAAGCCAGTGATGCCCATATCACCATGAAGAAATTAAAAAGAATTGAACAAAGGATGGCAGGGGAAGTGGCAGTCTAATGAGTACACAAACATAACATTCTTTCTTGCATGTGATCCCTTGAGGCCCTTTAATATGGAAACATGAGGCCCGTAAACAGAAATATTTGGAAGACCTTGAGTGTGGGAGAGTCTTTACCATGCTGGCGCCTTATGTGATCTGGACAGTTATTTCCAGTGAGGAGCAGGAATATTAGCATGAAATGCTGTGCCAGCCTGCTGCATAAATTATAGCTTCAATAAAGCTATTCCTTGATTCCTAGCTATAGCAATGAAATTAATCTAGGGTTAGATTCTGCATAAAGCCATCAATTTCACATTTTGTAAAGGTTAGCTGCTAGCTTTTTAAACTATATTCATACACGGTTGTTTGAGGAATGTGATGTTCATCAAAAGGTGTGAGCCAAACATATTTCTATTTCATCGCACCAGTGGCCTGATTTGTATTTTGACTTGTTGACCTTTATTTCTGTAAATACGCCAGGGAAAGCTTCTCAGAAGCTTCGTGCACGTTCGTGCCTCTCTCGATAACAAGTGAGTAGACACCAGTTCCATTCAGTTATGTTGCATTATTCACTGTCATTTCTTCCAGATTGAGAGACTGGACGCAGAGGTAGCCCAGTTGCAGCAAGAAATTCAGGACTCTCGAGATCAGAACGAGTTGTTAGAATTCCGCATTCTGGAACTCGAGGTGAAATGATGTTGCGTTTGAACGACGTGTGGAAAAATTGCCTAGTGTTTGACAGGACAGTTTTATCATTAATATTTCAGGGCAAGAGTTAATTCCTGTCGATTGGGATCTCGCTGGTTGATGGGACAAAGGTTAGCGAAACTGTGGGCATAAATAGCAGAAGGAGGCCTCAACCCCCCTTCATCTCAGCTTGGTCACTCCAACTTTGGTGATGTTATTTCAAGCCTCAAGCTGGTTCAGCATTTGAGCAGAGAACAGCTTTGTTTGGTGAGGCAGAGGTGGGATGGGAAAAGGCGATGCCTCAGGGTTTCTGCCGACTTTAACCCGATAGAAAATGGCGGCATTGCTGTAGAAACAGTCACGGTAAGGAAAGGATGACTCAGTCGATTCAACTTGTCCCACTCAATTGTGTTGCTTTGTGTATCAATGAATAAGCAGCCTCAACCCAGCCTAAAACCATTTGCTCTCATAGAATCGCAGAATTCCTACAGTGTGGAAGCAGGCCACTCGGCCTGTCGAGTCCACACTGACCCTCCGAAGAGCATCCCACCCAGACTTACCCCCCTACTCTGTAACTCTGCATTTCCCATGGCTAGCCCACAAATCCCTGGACACTTTGGGGCAATTTAGCATGGCCAACCCACCTAACCTGCACATACTTGGACTGTGGGAGGAAACTGGAGGAAACCTACCTAGGCACGGGAGGAATGTGCAAACTCCACACAGGCAGTTGCCTGAGGGTGAAATCAAACCCCGGTCCTTGGTGCTGTGAGGCAAGAGTGCTAACCACTGAGCCACCATGCCACCCTTCCCACAACCTCTTGGGAATTGATGAAAATCCAGACTCAAAAAATGCATTGACTAATTTGGGAGAGTGACAGTTGAATGGTCGAGGTTACAGGAAGGATGTGGAGGCTTTGGAGAGGGTGCAAAACTTAAATTCTTTCTTTTTCCACTCACTTGACATGTTGAGTTCTTAGCTGGCCTGACTTATGTCGCGGCAGTGATGGCATTTGTGTGATATGCGCACTTGCTCCAAACGTGGATAGTCTGTGTTATTGGGGTCGGTTAACTCACTTGGTTAAATGGCTAAGGTGTGGTTGATAATGAAGCTGATACTGAGTGTCCAGTCCCTTGCTCTGGCTGTAGTGGCCCATGGTGTTGTACCTGTTTGCCTTGTCCATGCCTGACATAGGATGACACCCCTGAAACTACATTAACCACTTGGTCTCTTTGTCTCTCTAACAGGGACAGATATCAATGACCCCTTTGCAGACTGTGGCTAGTTATGGTCAGTGGTGTAAGTCAGAAGAGCAGAAGTCTTTCCAGCTTGTGATGGATGTGATAGAACAGTTTTCACACTCACAACTTAATGTGAACTCAGACCCAGAACAATGGGACTAAAGTGTCCTTACTGTTATAACTGTTCCACACACCCTGAGTGAAATTGGAATGAGCTGTATTCTAGGCAGGCAGAAAGCTGTACGCCATTTTTCAATTTCCCTGGAATGTATCAAATAGAGGTTGATGTAGGAATTGGCGATGTCAAGCTGGAACTGGAGAGGTTGTCTTGTTAGCGTGGGATTTGTTTCTTACCCCGACATGAACCAAACGCTTGCATTTTTGTAGCCTTCACATTTTTCTTGGAAGCATCTTTTTACGTGCAATGAATTATTTTGAAGTGCATAAGTTGTTTCGTGTCAGTTTATTCCACATTTTAACTGTGCCACTGTGGGACTCCCAAACAAACTTTTCCATCGGCCCTGTGTTGACAGGCCGCACTTTAATGGCCACATAAATGAATTCCCTCAAAGCATTAACCTACCACTTGTAGATTAACATGGAGCGATATGGTTGGACGTTTTGTAACTGGCCTTTTTCTATTTGCAGGAGAGAGAGAGAAGATCCCCTGCCTTTAACCTCCAGATTACTCCTTTCTCAGATGGTGTGAGTGCCCTTCAGATCTACTGTATGCAGGAAGGTGTGAAGGTACATGTTGATATACTTGCCAATCTAATTCTGTTTGCAAAATGAGAAGTGGTACATTGGATGGAATCTTATTCCAGATTTATCAGGCTCCTGTTATGCTGTAATAAGCTCTGTGGCAGACTTGCACGAGAAGTCTGTCGAGGCCTATCTTGACAAAGAATGATAGAATCCCTACAGTGTGTAAGCAGGCCATTTGGCCTATCAAGTCCACACTGACCCTCTGAAGCGCATTGCACACATTGACCTTCTTCCTACACAGCTGGACATTCCCCCAGACAGCTGAGCCTGGTTGTTTTTAAAATGGCACTGGTGCCAGGGATGCTGATCTGTTCTGGGACATCCTAGCAGTGGTGAGTTGTTCTGGGAATGGGGCACGGTAGGATGGAGCTAGAATGGGATGACAAAGACACCACGGGGCAGTGTAGGTAGTTAGTGAAACAATTGTAAGGTACAGTGAGCAATCTCATTCGGCCTTGTGTCGAGAAACCATCCAAAAGCTTGATGCAACCAGCAGGTAACCAAGGAAACATCAGATTCAGTCCATATTTTCTCATGGTCATAACTGGTATAACCTCACAGTCCTGGGTTACCAGGAGGCCCACAACCCAAGAATGAGCAAAGCAAAGGTCATTTGAAGGTAAATGGTAAGTGTACTGACTAATATTTCAGTTCATTCTAAAGATTATTACGCAAAACACTTGCAATCTGACTGACACAGTATCTCTGGAAGAAAGGTGTCACCAACATACAATTATGGAGTTTTAGTTCGAGGCTAATACATACTATGTTTTATATGTAGCCCATGACTTTCGTTGCAAAGCCTGGAAAGCTGTGAATTGTGAAGATTATTCATTCAGAATGTTCTGATCCTGTTCCTAATGGGCTTTCAGCACATATTGACAAGCTCGGTACTGAATTGGCAGTGTTACCTGATAGAAGCCACAAGATGTCGCACTGTTATAGCCGCCCTCATTCTTCTCAAGTCAAGGCTGAATATAGGGACCTGCGCTTTTCAGCAATCTGTGTTTAAAAAATGGCCTGTGGATGCTGGCTGTTAACACTAAATAGGAGAAGCTTCTTGACCCCACTTCACCTCGATTGATTCAAAGTTTGTTATTTTTAGGGGATGTCTGTCATCATTGTGGAAGTGTGGATTGGTGTTAAGGAATGTCCTGGCTTAAGTAGAGTTTACTTTTCAAAATTAACTCTCGGGGGAGTAGATCTTTTGCAAACTGAGAGCACTTGCTGAAAACGTGTGCACATTCTCCCTGCAATAGTTCACACAGATTCATGTTCAATATCTCGGTCATAGCGGCTGGACAGGGCATTGGTTTGGCCATGTTTTGGAACAATGCGTTCAATTCTGGTCTCCTTGCTCTCGGAAAGACGTTGTCGAACTTGAAAGGATGCGGAAAAGACTTACAAGGATGTTGCTGAGGTCGGAGGGTTTGAACTCTAGGGAGAGGCTGAAGAGGCTGGGGCTATTTTCCCTGGAGTGTTGGAGGCTGAGGGGCGACCTTAAAGAGGTTTATAAAATCACGAGGGGCATGGATAGGGTGAATAACCAAGGTCTTTTTTCTCAGAGTCTGGAAGTCCAAAACTAGAGGATGTAGGTTTAAGGTGACAGGAGAAAAATATAAAAGGGACCTAAGGGGCAACTTTTTCATGCAAAGGGTGATGCATGTGTGGAATGAGACTGCCAGAGGAAGTGGTGGAATCAGATACAATAGCAACATTTAAAAGGCATCTGGATGGGTACATAAATAGGAAGGGCTTATAGGGATATGGGCCAAATGCTGGCAAATGAGGTTAGATTCAGTTAGGATGCCCAATTGGACTGAAAGGCTTGTTTCCATGCTGCACAGCTTGATGAATCTATGTCTGTGCGTGGATTCTTTGCTCGCTTGGGCCATTTGGTAGCAGAAGATGTAGGTTCAAGGAGGAGTCCAGGAACTGAACAAGTTATCTGAGGGACAACAAGGTGCAGGGCTGGATGAACACAGCAGGCCAAGCAGCATCATAGGAGCAGAGAGGCTGACGTTTCGGGCCTAGACCAAAC